CGCCGGCCAATGTCACTGGCGTGGATGGCCACAGGCCGAGATCACTGGCGTGGGTGGTCACGGCCGGTGATAGCCGCCGGCCAATGTCACTGGCGTGGATGGCCACAGGCCGACGTCACTGGCGTGGGTGGTCACGGCCGGTGATAGCCGCCGGCCAATGTCACTGGCGTGGATGGCCACAGGCCGACGTCACTGGCGTGGGTGGTCACGGCCGCCGCCCAGCACGGTCACCGCGGTCACCAGTACGCATCCCTCCGGCTGCCGATAGCAGTTCGCCAGACTCTGCGGGAGGCACCGTATGTCCCCGGCTGATTTCTCCAGGGCCCTAGCTCGATTCCCTCTGGTGATCAGCGTAGCGATATTCTGCGCCGGCATTCCGGCTGCGGCCCGTCCTCCGCCCCAAGGTCATCCAGGGTTAAACCGTCCAGTTACGCGGACTTCGGAGGCCAGCGTTTACAGGCAGTTCCATTAGTGCTTGGGCTTGATTGGTGCATAACGGATTTACCGCTTCCCAGTTGATTGGCCGAACGCGGCAGCTTACCCCCCCCCCCAGGCAGCGACGAACAGCTGCGCCTGGAAGGGTGAGCTGCGCCGCAGAGCATCATGTATGCCATCACAGTCTACCCAAACACCCCGTGGTGGGAACGCGTGTTGACTTACCGTTGCTCTAAACACGACTGACTCACGTCAGGGGGCAGACAAGGGCGAGGGGGGGGGGGGGCTCAGCCCCGAATTCCTTCGTTATTCATCATGGATTACTCCAGACGGAAAGTGAAAAAACAGTGTTAAGTGTACTCACCGAGCCCCCCGACCCCTTAAGGGAACCGTGGTATGGAACCCGCTTTCAACATCGCTAAAAAGAAGATGGTGGGTACGTCGGCCTTGCAGTACTTACGGTGCATGTTCGGCGTGGTAGCACTATCACAGGCCATTCATAACGTGTATTGATCTTCCCCAGGTGTAAATGACATTTTAAGAGATAGCCGGAAGCCTCCTCTTTTTCACGTCGTCCCCTCAGCTGATATCTGGCTTAAAATTATACTTCATATTAGGACTTCAGATTGGAAAAGATGGGCCTAGTTTACTTACATAAAAGGGTCCCAATGCAGCACAGCGCCGATAACTTACTTTGGTTAGTTGAGAACACACACACGCACATTTGACGAGAGCATTCAGCTGACCAGAGCCGCCTACACGAATGCTGGCTGGAATAGATTATGAAATGATGCAGCACAGCCCCTCTTTCCGCTGTAACATTGGTGTACCTACGAAAAACCTCAAAATTTCAAGATGGGCGGTGACCAAACTCCATTATCAATAGAAATGCACTGCATTTATTTGCCTGCAGTAGATCTACGACGCATGCCCGTCAATTTTGCATGCCTACTGGGAGTTCAACCAGACTTCAATACAATACTGGCCACGCAGTTGCGTATGATGACGTTTTTACCAGCAGTAGATCTTAAAGACGTCTTGAGAGATGACGACGGATGTCAATAAAACACCGAAGTTAGGTTTGTGCATCGCCTGAGGTCAGGTGCCTCAGTTGAAACTAACTGCACGTCCTCGACAAACTCGTGTTCAAGTTCAGCGGAACACGGTGTGCCCAGCCGCATGATGCGTGCATTTTAAAGATGGCGTCCGTGGTGCAACAACTTTGAGCTGGAGTAGCCGGAACCTACGCTAGGCAACAACGAAGACATCTTCGAAGAAGCAGTATTGAAGTTTGGTAAATGATGAAGATAAAATGTGAACTACGGTGGGTTTTCAATAAAACGGTGCAAATGTTGACGTTCGATAAGGGCAAGCAATAACTTCTGCTATCATAGGCAATCGATTCGTCTTGACAGATGATGAAAAGCGCGTGCCAAATTGCTGTCAGTAAGACACTTTCATCAACCATTGTTTATTCACGACGTTCGATCGAAAACATCCTTTGGTGAAGCTGTATCTGATGCAACTGCCACGTGTGAATGGAGACATTTGATGTCAAATGACATTGTGGCAAACGATGGTAAATCGCTGTCACAATCGCAGCAGATTGACTGCGCAAATGCATGAATGTTTCCGTCAAAAGGACAGCGGCACATTTTCCCTCGGCTCGGCTGCAGCTCCGCGCAGGGATATCGAGCCTGCCAAAACCCCAGCACCTGCTCAGTGCGCTGGCGTCCGCGGCCGGTGCCAGCGGTGCCGCCGGCTTCTCTTTGTTGGGCGCTCCTGCAGCACGTTTCGATGGATCAGTGCCTGATCGACCCGCTCCTTCCGAGAGCCCGGCCGGTGGGGTCCAAGTCCGAGCGGAGCCGGCGGGGTCCACACATCAACATTACCTGTGAAGAGGGCGCCATTAGGTCAGGCTGACGGCGGCGCAGCGTGCTGCAGACGCTGTACTTAACACACGGACAGGGGCGTGGCGTGGCGTTCGTCTGGCGGAGATCGAGCCCCCCCCTCCCCCCCCCCCAGCTGGCAGCTGAGTCAGGCTCACAGCCAAGGAGAGTCATCGGGGTCATGCCTCCACTCCGCATGTTGAGGGGCTTACTCTGGATACTGGGCGATCCAGAGGAATTCAGTCCATATTCGCAGCAGTTTGCAGTTGACTTTGGCATTTGCCTGCCCCGCAAAAAGGTTCTGGCAACGCTCCTGAGCTGACTCCTCCCAGTTTGACTGACAGGGGCCTCCTCAACCTTACACCTACGCTCATGAAAAATGCAAGCAATGCAAGCAAACCAAACAAAGGATAAAGCAATGTTATCGTGAGCTCTAAATAGTAAAATAAGTTGGCTCCCGTACGAAGATGAAATAATGTGTCAAGAGCTTTTTATATTCATCAACGCCGGGCTGAAGCTTTCAGCTGTCTTTTCTCGAAGCCGCATCCCTGCACGTGGTAGCCTCGAGTTCGATGCCCGACGGTCACAGTTCACTCCAGATTGCTGACCGCCGCGACCGCCGCGCTCCACAGAGCACCGCGCGGCGCCACGCCGGGCACCCTTAACAGCGAGGTCGGACCCAGAGCCGCGGCCGACACCGCTGCCAGCGCTGCCGCCGACGCAGCCCGGCAGCCGGCCGGCTGGCACCAGCGGCGCGTCCGACAGCCCGGCCCGGCCCAGGCGCTGCAGCTGTCGCACGCGCTGTAAACTATCGCGATGAGGCCGGGTAGGCTGGGAGTGGGGGCAAGGAGGCCGCGAACGAGGGCAGGAAGATCGCGAACGAGGGCAGGGGGGCCGCGAGGGGGCTGCGATGCTGCGGGGGAGGACAAATGGTCTGCGGGGGAGGGCAGGGAGGCCACGAGGGGGCTGCGATACTGCGGGGGAGGACAGAGAGTGTGCGGGAAGGCAGGAAGGCTGCGAGGTGGATGGGACAACCTGTTACGAGCGGCACCGTTACAGGTTTGTGTACCACGCCTAAAGAGTGGCAGAGTGGCAGCTCTATTACACCTGCACTTCATTGCATCACGTGCCAACACATCCACCCACACCGGCGGTCACTATTGCGTCCGTCGCGGTGACAAAAACGAAGACGATGATTAACGAGAATAAAGCAAGGGAACGCGAGACTGTAAATATTGCACATCCCTGCGCTATTACAGCTCCACCAAGGTCTACCAGGCTCAACCGGGCTCTGCTGGGCCCCACTAGGCTCCAACGGGCTCCACCGGGCTCTGCTGGGCTCCACTAGGTTCCACCGGGCTCCACCGGGCTCCACCGGGCTCTGCTGGGCTCCACTAGGTTCCACCGGGTTCCACCGGGCTCCACCGGGCTCCACCAGGCTGCACCAGGCTCCACGGGGCACCGCCAGGTTGCCGCATGGTTTCGCCGGGCTCCACCGGGCTCCACCGGGCTCCACTGCGCTTCGTCAGACTTCTCCATGGCAGCCCTGGGGCGGCCGGATGATGTATGGTGAGGAGGTGTGTTTTGGCCGGCGACTGACGGCGCGCCACGGCCGCTCCGGACCGCCCGGGTGAAGAACGGCCGCGGTGGCTCGCTCCGCGCTGTATATTTCAGTCGGGCCGGTGGGCGGGCGGCGCGCTTTGTGCTCTGGGGCCTCCGGAAACGCGCCTCAGGGACTTGTCTCACTCAGTCGTGATGTTTGGAACGTGCCGTGACTGTGGCGCCGTTGGGTAGTACGGCGCCTTGTTAGCGAGCTTATGCCAGATCATGTGAAACAGAGCCGCTGTCGGCGCCATACGTCTCAGTTAACAGCCAGGCCTCATCAGCGCAAATCTCCCGCGTATAGCCGTACACACAAGTAATCAGCACCCATAGAAGGATATATATATATATATATATATATATATATATATATATATATGTGTGTGTGTGTGTGTGTGTGTGTGTGTGTGTGTGTATGTGTGTAACACAAAATCCATTACGACAAGGCATACCTCTATTAACCAGACGCATACATGATCACATACAAATGACTAACATAAATACATGATCGGTTAGTGGAATTCCATTTATTCAGCCAACTTCCCGCATTATATCATCTCACTCACTATGGAAGCCTTGGATGCAGCGTCTGCATATGTAACGGCCACGTTTGATCTCACGACTTGAACCCCGAGCCCTCCGAACCCTGTATTGTGGAAGACGTTAGCCAAGCCGTTGCTGTTGCTACCGTTTCTTCTCCTAATGTGGTAGCACACCAGACAGGAGATGTCAAGCATCGATTAGACATCTGCTTTCATCGCAATAGGAAAGCGCGTGATCAACCTCATGTCACTGAGGATATTTTAGACATCTGAATGAAAACAAAATGAGCATTCTGTTGGTTCAGGTGTTTAAGATACAAAAATTCGCATGCACTTCATCATCCGAGGTCTTATGGTATTGTCTACAATCATGCGAGAGATCTTCCACATACTAAAGGTATGCTTTTTACAATAAGATGGACCACTTCGGCTCACCCCAGCTCGCCCGAACCATGTCTGCCGCACTGTGTCTCCCTCTGCGTCCGCTGTGACTGGCCCTGCTGACACCTCCTCCCCTTCCCCGCGTCCTCAGACGGCGACCGGCCCTGCTGACCGCCGGCTCGCCACTCCTGCCGAACCCTCAGCGCTGCCTGAGAGCTCGAGACAGGAGCGCCCCCCGCCGCCTACGGCCATGAGGCGTGCCGGCGGCGCCGGCGGCGACGCATCCGGCCAGGTGCGCATCATTCCCATCACGCTGGAGGGCGGGGAGGTGGCGGCTGACGTCGGCACGGCCGGACCAGCGGGGTCCGCCTCGGCGCGCCACAGGCCCAGTCGGGCAGCCGACTCTGCCACCCTCCCGCGCTCCTGGGCGCCTGGCCGGAACGGCGGCGGCGTCGAGCACCGGATCCCCATCCGCCTTGAGGACGGGGACGGGGCGGAGGCACAGCAGCCGCCGCCACCGCAGCCGCCGCCACCGCAGCAGCCGCAGCAGCAGCAGCACACAGTGCCTCGCCGCGGGAGCTTCTCAAGCCGCTCAAGCATCCCGAAGAAGGTGCACTTCGCTGCGCAGCCGCAAGTGCAACTGTACGATGATGAGCGTCGCGAGGTGTCGCCGCCGCCCGCGCGCCATCTGTCGCCGCCCGCTGCGGCTCAGCTTCCGTCTACCGCTAACAGAGTGGCCAGGCCGTACGGCCGGACGAGTCCACTTGTTGCGGCCGGGGGTGATCGGACAAGCTCCCTGAGGCCGGCCTCTGATGGTGGGAAGAGAAATAACCCTCCATCACCAGCAGAGGTGAGCTTGCTCTGCTGCGACCAGTGCAGCGACCAGATAATGAGGTCGTGATCATGAAGTGTTGAGGTCGTGACAATGATCAGATTGGCAATGACCCCCGCCAATCTTCAGCAGGAAGAATAAGCCCTCACTGGGTAGCCTCTCTACCTCACTGGGACTGCTACTGGCCTAGATTGGCGAACCACATCATTCCAAATTATAATTGATATATTGATAAAAATTATATTGATAATAATTATGATTATAATTGATGACATCCATGACATGCTTGTAGAATCTAACAGGCGCCCATTGCAAAAATTGTCACCCATTCATTTTGACCAGACTTTTTCATGCTTCGTCTTTGGGAAATATGTTTGAGCTTGTAAAGAAAGCTTGTGTCCCCAATAGTACGCATGGGTCTAACCTTATCTATTACTACCGATGCCAATCTACTAGCGCAGCTGTCATCCTGTTTTCTGAGTCGTGTGTGTATAGATGCTAACCCGTGTGGATTCGTAACCTTGCCTTGAGGAACCACCTACTAGGAAGCTGCACGTGGACCAAAATAACTTTGAATTGTTTTTCCGGGTCCATCTTTTCTCCGCATTCTATTTGTGTGGTTATGCTGATGCAATGCGAGTGACAGCATTTATGCATACTAATCGGAACTGCTCAGTTCTGCTTACCGTGACCTTGCGAAGTATTAAGGCATCATAAGGTCTTAATCAAGACATTCATAATGTGTTTGGACATCCCATGCTCCTACTTTATTGAGCTGGTGGTTCTCTCCACCGATTTCAAGCTTTGGCGCCACCCATGACAAATGGACGATATGTAGATATTACATTGATGTACTTCAGTGCATGCTAAGCATATGTGTATGGGTATTAACAGCCAGCATGTGTTCAGATGGCTGCAAAGTCCCCGATAAAGGAATAAGCTTGCTGGACCGTCAGCATACTGAAATAGGTGTCTCATTTTGAATACCTATCAATACGCTGCAGTGAATAGAACCTTTGGGGAGCTGAGTCGCGGCGTCAGATTCCTGCACAGCCAACTAGCGGGCTGCTCAGCGCCAAATCTCGGTTAGCAGGCTGCTTGGCGCCAAATCTCGGTTAGCAGGCTGCTCAGCGCCAAATCTCGGTTAGCAGGCTGCTCAGCGCCAAATCTCGGTTAGCAGGCTGCTCAGCGCCAAATCTCGGTTAGCAGGCTGCTCAGCGCCAAATCTCGGTTAGCAGGCTGCTGAGCGCCAAATCTCGGTGCTGAAGGCACTACTGTACTCTATAGCGGGCTGCTCAGCGCCAAATCTCGGTGCTGAAGGCACTACTGTACTCTATAGCGGGCTGCTCAGCGCCAAATCTCGGTGCTGAAGGCACTACTGTACTCTATAGCAGGCTGCTTAGCGCCAAATCTCGGTTCTGAAGGCACTACTGTACTCTATAGCAGGCTGCTTAGCGCCAAATCTCGGTGCTGAAGGCACTACTGTACTCTATAGCAGGCTGCTTAGCGCCAAATCTCGGTGCTGAAGGCACTACTGTACTCTATAGCAGGCTGCTTAGCGCCAAATCTCGGTGCTGAAGGCACTACTGTACTCTATAGCAGCTGCTTAGCGCCAAATCTCGGTGCTGAAGGCACTACTGTACTCTATAGCAGGCTGCGCGCCAAATCTCGGTGCTGAAGGCACTACTGTACTCTATAGCAGGCTGCTCAGCGCCAAATCTCGGTGCTGAAGGCACTACTGTACTCTATAGCAGGCTGCTCAGCGCCAAATCTCGGTGCTGAAGGCACTACTGTACTCTATAGCAGGCTGCTCAGCGCCAAATCTCGGTTAGCGGGCTGCTCAGCGCCAAATCTCGGTGCTGGAGGCACTACTGTACTCTAGGCTTTCAGCCATACATCGGAGGCCATCGGCACTGATTTGACCGAGCTGCCTGGTTTCCAGTACCATCTGCGACCTCTAGCGGCGACAGTCCCGGATGTGACTCCGGAGCACGCAGCGACTGAGGTGAGTTTCACAGCGCAGTATTCAAGCATTACGCGTGCTTATCAACTTCCGACCGCAGCCAGTCTGTTCCCAGCTGCTGCCGGTGCCACTTGCAAAAGAGGCGTCCTTCATTGCCGGAATATAGATCAGAATGATTGGCCTTGCGTCGCTGTGCATGCATGTGTGCCCACAGCGATAACATCTATGTAGCCGCACTCCTAGAAATGGGTAAACATGAGTATTTCGAAAATCGATAGCGCTAAAAGTCGAAATGGTGTTTTTGAGCCCGGGACCTGTGAACAGGCATTTCACCGCGAAAGTCGGGAGAGTCAGAAGTCTGTATCGACAATACAGTGCTGTCTGCGAGCGGCGTCCCCACCACTAGTTACATACCCACTGGCTGGGAGAGCGAGCACACCGGCCGCCCTGAGCGCCGCCCCTCCCTCTCCTCCGGACGCCGCCGGTCGCCAACATCCGGTGCAGTGGCGGTGGATAGGCCGCGGCGCGGCGTGATCGCCATGGGAGACCCGTCTGGTGCTCCGGCCGGCGGCTGCGTCCCCTGCGCTGTCGAGCCTGTCGAGCCCAGCCGCCGTCGCCGGGCTGAAGCCGCGGGACCGTTCGCCCGCTGGGATCGGTTGAAGCCGGGGCCGGCCTGCCCTCCATCAGCCGGCGGACGGTGCGCCGCCGCCGCCGGCCGCCTCAAAGGGCGGAACTGAGATCGGACGGCTATTTACGGGCCCATGAAGCCGCGTGGGCCATTAGCCGCCTGAAGCCGCGTGGGCCATTAACTGCGCAGCGGCGAGCGGCGAGCGGTGCCGACACTAGCGGCGTTGGTCAGGTATCGAAGTACGACTCGGCGGGCGCGGCTGTTAGACGGCCCGCTGCCGGCTCGTCTGGCGTGGGGAGCGCGATCAAGCCGGCTGGACTCGGACCTCCCGCTCATCGCTGAGTGGTCTGCAATGCTCGTAACCTTCTAGTGCTGCTGCTCGGCGGGTGAAGAGGAGCGGTGACGGTGTGATGCAGCCGGGCGCCAGACCGACGGTGACTTCAGCGGTGTGCTGCAGCCAGGCACCAGACCGACGGTGACTCCAGCGGTGTGCTGCAGCCAGGCACCAGACCGACGGTGACTCGCAGCGGTGTGCTGCAGCCAGGCACCAGACCGACGTTGACTCCAGCGGTGTACTCCAGCCAGGCTCCACAACGACGATGACTCCAGCAGTGTGCTGCAGCCAGGCGGCAAACTGATGGTGACTCCAGCGGTGTGCTCCAGCCGGGCCCCAGACCGACGGTGACTCCAGCGGTGTGCTGCAGCCGGGCGCCAGACCGACGGTCACTCCAGCGTTGTACTCCAGCCGGGCGCCAGACCGACGGTGACTCCAGCGGTGTGTTCCAGCCAGGCGCCAGAGCCGAGGCGCCGGGAAGTCGTCATTATGCCGTGGAGACCAGCGTTCGCCATGCTTCTCACGCTCCCCCATTTGCCCGTTTTGACACCATAACTACCCTCATCTGGGCTGAATGGGCGTTTTGATGATGCAGCAGTGGGCCATGCGCAGTATATTGGCGAGGCTGTATCGACGAGGCGGACAGAGCGGAGCCATGCCGGGCCCAGAAACACTCCCCGTTTCCGTGGCTCAACACACCCGCACCGCAGTGCGTCCCTGTTAACGGCACGCTGGAAAATTGCGGAGCTGGAATATGCCGGGAAGTCGTCCAGCGGATGGGAATATTGCCGCGATCGCCTGGTCTGACGGCCGGCGTCCCAGCCATCAGCGTTGTCTGCATTCCAAAAGTTAAGCCGGTGACTGGGTCTGTTCGGGCATGATGGGAAGAAGGGAACTTAAACCTTCGATATTTCTCAGCTTATACGGAGCTTACGAGCGGCAGCTAGAGATATTCGACTTCTCACCCCGCTATGTGCAACAACAATTTTGAAACATTTATACCAACTTGAGCCCATGTGGATGTTGGCTTTTAATGCTCGGATTAGTTCTGTCCGATTAAACAAATGTGTCCATTTATTTAGCCCAGCCACCTGTCATTGAGGGGTGGGTGTGAGGAGTGATAGTCCTGGCCGCATCAGTGGCGGCTCACGAGACTGATGTGGCGTTGTCGCTCCTGCACGCTGTGATGTTAGTTAGTTGTTGAGCTTTAAGGACGCGTCAGCTGTCGCTGCCGCGGGGCGTGATGTGCAGCCGTCGGCGGGCGGGGTGTGGATAAGAGCTGGCTGGTTCGGTCGTGAAACTGTCAGCTAGCGTTATCTCGGCGATGGCTTTTCAGTGTCGCCTCACAAAAGCCAAATGAAACAGCAGCAGCGCAGGAAAGGTTGATCGGCTCTTATGGTGATACGAGAGATCGAGTTCTTATGCAGAGTTATCGACCCTCAATGCGTCAGGAGCTCCCGGTTAAACGTCTTTGCAGCGCAAGTACTAGTCATATTGTCAGTACTCGACGTTTCAACTTGTGGTAACTATCACGAACGCGAGCTGAACGACCACCTCGGATGAGTGGTTATAAGCATAAAGAACGTCGAGTGCTGTCAACATGACAATATTTGTTCTGGAACATCGTTCACCCATTACCCTCTGGTATTTGAAGGCTGAGCACAAGAATCATAAGAACTCTGAACTCGCATTGCCGAAAAACCAGGAGCTGAAGGCATTCCCCAGTGACATAAGGAAATAATGCGAATCGTAAACGGAGCAAGTCGTTTCTGCTTAACAAAGCCACGACCCATGCCTAATGACCCCCTGAGGCACGCCTAAACGATGTTTGGCTGATATCACACCGCGAGTAAATGCAGAAGATGAAATGCCTGCTGTCAGTCATCTAGGCTTGGGGCATTAACAGCAGCATGGATATTTATGTGGCGCCCTGACAGCGCTCCTCCGTCGGCCGTTCATTTTCTGCTCCGCCAACAGGCCACGGGCGACATGATGTTACACATCCTATGCGGTAGTCTACTACCAGTGTAGATAACACGGTGAACACAGGCAGTTCCCCTGCACGATGACGTCATGGGGCCATTTCGTCGAGCCGCTCCCGAGATAGCCGGGAGTGGGACGAGGAGGGTGGCCTGTTGGCAGTGCCGTGCTGGCGCGCGTAGGGCGGTGTTGGCCATCTGCCTGTTCCAGCTGCCGATGTTGGGAGAAGCGTTCCAGTAAGGTCTAGATCGATCGAGTCTGGTCCATGTCCAGTGTCCAGCAGTCTGTGGACGGGTCATAAGTGACGGCCATTGCGCTCAGAGCCTCTGAACAGTTCCGGGACGCGTAGGCTGTTCCGCAGTGCATGACGTATACCGGCGCAGTATCCCGCCAGATTTGTATCAGCGACGAGCGCGACAGCTATTAACACGCTGAAATGTGCTGTCATGCAGCCTCTGTCCCAGTCTGCTATCAAACTGTCCAACAGCATTCAGACCTCCGCCAGTCCAACAACAGACAATCTGACAATCTGCCTACAGTGTCCGACAGTCTGCCCATAGTCTGCAATTAAAACACGTAACCAACTTTGCATATTGCCAACTATCGCCGACTGCAACAGACGGTCAGAGTAGTCTGCAGTCTGTCCACAGAGTCCGCAGCGGCAGTCAGTCTGCTGAGCTCAGGCCCAATCAGCAGCCAGCAGCCAGTGCACCCCGGTCCTCAGCCCGGACACCAGCCAGTGCACCCCAGTCCTCAGCCCGGACACCAACCAGTGCACCCCGGTCCTCAGCCCGGACACCAGCTAGTGCACCCCAGTCCTCAGCCCGGACACCAGCCAGCGCACCCCAGTCCTCAGCCCGGACACCAGCCAGTGCACCCCAGTCCTCAGCCCGGACACCAGCCAGTGCACCCCAGTCCTCAGCCCGGACACCAGCCAGTGCACCCCATGTCCTCAGCCCGGACACCAGCCAGTGCACCCCTGTCCTCAGCCCGGACACCAGCCAGCCTGTCCTAGCCCACAGTCTGGAAAGTAACCAGTCTGTCCTAATCCGCCATTCATACAGCAGTCTGTACTAGCCTCAGCTCAGTGAACAGCCAGTCTGCCCTAATCCGTAGTCGGAACAGAAGCCTGTTTGTCCCAATCTCCAGGCCGGTCAGCACCCGGTCCGACCCAGCCTGTTGGGTCTGCGTGCCAGACAGAGTGTCGGGCTGGGCGCGAACTCCGGCGCCAGAAATACCGACCGTCGGGAGGCCGGGCCGTGATCCAACGGCTGGTGACTGCCATCGCTGGCCGGTGAAGTCAGAGGATTCGCGGAGCCGGGGCCAGCGCACGGCGCCGGCTCGCTGCCCCGTCCGTGGCGTGACGCCGTCTCTGGCGCGCGGGGCGCCGCCGTTGAGCCCCATCGTCGGCCGGCCCCCGCGAGGGGCCGCTGTTGTCGACTGGTTTGTTGACCTGCCAACTGTGGACGGCACCGGCCTGATCCAAGAACGAGGTCTGGCGTGAGTCTTTACAGAGAGGCAGGGATAAAGGTGCTCAAAACACCCTCAGAGGCGCAGCAGTTCAGTGTTTTGCTTGTCAACATGCCCCCGGGTGGCCGGTTGAATTCCCTTTGCTCGGGTGGGGGTCAACTTCACCCTATGAGAGCGCATAATCTAGAGAGATAGTCATTAATTTCACAAGGTGTGGTAACATGTACGTAAACTCACTAACGCTAAAACTTGAGGTTCCGAGGTCGTGATTCTCGTGTCAGACAGGGTCAAATAATGACAAACTCTAGATTTGTGTCAAAAGTGCCCCAGACCTTCTCATCCAACCATCGTGAACCTAGAGTACTATTCTAAGCGAAATTTCACTAGCGCTCAATCAAGGTCAGTGACCTTGCTTACCATGGTCATAGTGACCCAAATCATGCAAGGATATTTGTATTTTTGCATTCGAATAAGTGTGAAGGAATACGCAAGGCAATGTGCTCCTGAAAACAAAATGTTCACATGCACCCGGTTGACCGATTTGATACCGTTTGCTCGGGTGGGGGCAGAGAGTCAGTTTGACCCCAATCCAACAATGACTCCCGCGCGTCGACAGGCCCACGGGTGAGG